TAAGTACCTGGTGCCTGACCTAAACCTGTGTCAAATAATGAAAGAGGTTCATTGGCTCTGCCCAGGGGAACCATTTCTGACCAATACAGCGGAACTAATGTGTGGTCTGTCAAACCTAAGCTCCAAGGAAACTTGCAAGTTTAAGCTAAGTAAACCCAAAGAAAGAACCGGAACAGTGGCCATGATAGCTAATGCCCAGTGGTTGATTAGCACCCCTCTAGACACGGCAATTGTTTCCACCGATCAACACTCCATAACCATGGAAGTTCCGATTCCAAGCCACGTCGCACTGGTCACAATACCAAGAGGAACATTCGTACGCATAGGGGACAAGGTATTATATAACCTAGACAAAAGCCTACACCAAGCGGAGGTAGAAATCGTAGACACATTCCGAGGCCACAAGTTTGAGATAAGCAGCACTCTGTCCAACTTGTTGAACAGTAAAGAATTCCATATGGTGAAATTATCCCTCAGCGAATCAGAGATTAACATAACAGATCTTACTTGGGCGACCGAAGTGGCTGGATATCAGCGAAATCAACAGATGGGGATGGGAATCACAGGGGCAACAGGGATGATCATACTAGTCCTGGCTATTCTAACCTTAACATACCGTGTGGCCAAAATGAATGCCGAACTTAAAAGACTAATCGCAGGCACAAGCCACATACCATTCGAGCCCAGGAACAGGGATAGAGCCAAGGCCTGATGATGCCACCCAAGAATAACCGTAGAGACTATCTTTTTAACGATATCTCCTATAACATGTAGTCAATAGAATAACGTTCCCTCCCTTATCGTTTTACCTTCCTTTAGAATTTTTTTTTTCTCTCTTGTCACATATAACCTGTTAAGTTGTGACACGTACGCGCGCGTTGTAAGGAATAGCAGCAAAACTTGAGGACAATCGATGGTTCATGATGGAAGAAGGGTATACATATTTTTAAAAATAACCCGTGGCCATTTGACCACTGGTCATTTTTAAAAGGGCGGAATGTTGTATACTAACCCTTCTTCCATAATTGAGATTAATAATATTTGATGATTTTTATATATTATCTTTTTACTTGTTTTTTTTAATGAGTGAAACACACCAAGCGCAGCAAACTGCAAAACACCAGGTGTTGTTAAGTAATGAACCGGAGGAGGGCTAGGATGGCAGAATTTACAACGTTGCTTCAAAGGAAGATAAGGCCTGATGAACGGGCACATGTCACCCGTGCAGGCGGCAGAGACAGTGGGAGTGTCAGCCAGACATAGTTAAGGCAAAAGCCCAATCATCCTGCATGGTTTTAAAGTAACGTCAAAATTCGAAATTCAACAACAGAGTAGGCTAAATTATCGATCCTCGCGCTCGCTCAAACTGGAGACCAGGCTGCGAGCTACATCAATGAACCATTGCCCATTTGCTAATCCAATACTGAATGTTAATATTACTGAAGTCAAAACGAATTCTATGACCTCAGCACATGGGCAAATAATAGGGCAGTGTCGACTCAAAGGCAATGGAAGAAAACAGAGGCGCCTTTGTCTAAATCACAACCACAGAAAGCCAGGAATCATCACTGATTGTGTGTTCAGGAATTCCGAGCTAGTTAGAACACGTGCACAGGGGGGGAGCTGATGTAAACAACCCTGCGCGTCTGGATGTGAGGGGGCCTTTGACCTGAAAGTAAGAATAACACTCCCAGAGCAGAAGGTTGGATGACCACAGTGAGACGAGAATAAGAGTGGTGTATATCTCTCAAGGAGGCAGACCCAGCTGAACAACAAGGCTGCGGGGTCACCAGAAGTTCGCATTCGCCTAGTTAAGACAAAAAGCTCAATTATTCTGTATTGCTATTAAAGTAACGTTAAAGTCGGAATTTAACAACAGGGTAGGCTAAAGTTATCGATATTCACACCCACTCCAATTAAACCAGGCCACAAGTTACGCCTACTGAACCATCACCATTATTAAGTCAATATGAAATGTTATTTCCATACTTCAATACTTTCTATACAATTCGACCCGAAGCATATGACAATCAGAACCTTCCTAAGTCAAAATTGAATCGCACCCAGACAGGAGCGAATAGTCAATATAAGGTTGAAGAGGGAAGGAAATCAAGAGCACGGCGAACTGCAAACGTAAGCAAAAAGCCGGGAACAACACCAGCCCAGCAACAGCGAGTGGGGCTTCGACAGGCCATAAAGTAGAATAATAACTCCCGGGGTCAGGGGACACAAGAAGAAGCAGGCAGACAAAAACCAGAACTGACTCCAAGGTTCAACCGCCCTCACCTACTCAGGGGTGACGGAAATTAATGAGGCCTTGAATTAACGGCAGGCAACAACAACGGCGAGCAGAGATAGGGTGGGGCAAAGACTGCGGGCTATGGAATGCAACTTCGTGTCAGTAAAGCCCTGACAAACAAGTTAAGTTAAAGACATCACAATACATAATATCGCACATAACATCAATGTTAACGCTATTCACCGTAAACTATATTCCGCTTATATAACCATCCAGGCACCAAGGAATACGAATTCCTAGGATCAAGAAACTTACCCCTTAACCTAAGATATCGGAAATAAATTAATAGTAATAAGTATATGCATGAAAGACAAAAGTAAAACTTATGGAAAAGCCAGGATAACGGGATGAATCACCACCAGGTCGAATATAAATACATAATAAAAAAAAAAACAATGTTAAACCCAGGGTCGGAGAGAAAGGGAGATCCCGGCCGTCTTTGTATCCCCGCAGCGCGGGATAGGAGTGTGTGTACGCTCGGGGAAACACCTACACTTGGGTCGGGAACCACGATGGGAAACGACAGACCTTAGGTTACATACAGAATCATAACTGTGAAATAGTAAGGGACAAATGTTAACTTAAAACTTTTAACCATTTCTTTGTGCGCCGGGTCGGAGAGAGTGTTGCCCCTCCCCCCAGGTTGTGCAACACGAACAAAGACGCCTATGAGACGATTTGTAACGTCTGTGTTTTGGGTTCATGAAGAAGGCCAGACAAGAGATAAATTGCACCCAGACAGAGAGACGACTTCGAGACAATTTGTAACATCTGGTTGTTTGCTCGTGGGTTTTATGGAGGGAGTTGACAACGGAATATACCGTCAGTGATGCACACAAGGACATACGGACACACACATGGACACACCTGCCTACGGACAGATCCTGACACAGCAAAAATCGGAAGCCCCGCCTTGTGGGCGGGATCCAGGGGGATTTTTCAGCATAAAGGAACGGATCCTGAACATTGGAAACCAGTGCGACGGGAGGGTCCACTCAGAAGCTCGACCGGGAGGGTCGACTCAGGAACGAGTGCGACCAGAGCGGGTCCACTCAGGAGTGCGACCAGAGAGTCGACTCAGGAGCGAGGGCGACCAGCGGGTCGACCCAGGAGCGAGCTCGACCGGGAGGGTCGACTCAGGAGCGAGCTGCGACCAGCGGGTCGGCTCGACTCATCTTCAGCTCGTCAATCTCTGCTGCCGCCGGAGATCTCCGCTGCCGCCGGTGGTGAGCGTCGCGACTTGGCGACGATCCAGCGCTGCACGCTACGAGCGAGTTGTGGGCGCCACCTACCGACCGGGTTCCGAACTGCGACAGCGTATCAACAGCCATCCGAGCAATTCACCACGGTGACAGGGGAGCGCCTGATACGTATGACGCGCACCGCCCCCTCACCACACGACCACCAGGCGTCTGTTTGACATAAAGAATCGACTCCGAACACTGACTATTCAAGACAACTCTTACCACTCAAACACACTCGAACCCATAAGTCATCCGTGGCTGGGAAGGCATCACAACGAGACCGAGTGGTGGCCATCCGTCGTATAAGAGTATTCTTAATTTTTATCTTTAATATTTAGTGGGCTGTACTCTTAATCGCATAAATTCCCAACAGATCCATCAATACGAACTGATTCTTGGCACCTCCTTCCGCCGAGCCACGCTCACGTGGGGAGTGGTGGCCCACCGGATCCTTATCAGGTGATCTGGTCCCCAATTAGTAAACTTGGTATAAGATAACGATCTTCGGAAAAGGAGCACCGTCGCAGGCCTTACTCCGAGCCGTTCTGCTGTCAGATAACCTGCCGATGTATCTGTTGAGATTGGTGCCTTTAAGAATAGTAACTGTTTTGATTGTGTTTTTTTTTTTCGCCGTATAATCTTTCAAGTATCCTTCAGTCATAATCGCCGCACGTACTCGCATCCTCTACAGAATATTCAACTGTCCCGTGACCCAAGGTGTTAACAACGTGATAAGGGTTGCGTATGATCAATAAGGAGTGCGGTACTGCGTGAACAATATTGAGTATAATCATTCATTAACGTTAAGGTTTTCTTAGCATAGTATTTGCATGTTTTAACGACTCTCTCTCTCACTAACAACCATCGCGTTATGCGGGATCCATGTGCCGTTGTCAAAGTGAAATCAGACAATCGTTGATGATACTGTATTGATGCCGTGTTGACGTTCCGGGATTGAGAGTTCGCATATTATATCATAGTTAAGGTTGAATTAGTAATAAATTGATTAATACAGAAGTGGTTGTGTGATTCTTTCCTGAAATCTATGCATAAGATCTGCTTCTGCGTTGAGATTTGAACTTGGTGACCTTAATAAACACACTAATACATACTCAGTAAATGTTAAAGCGATAACGGGGTGAACCGGGGTCTGGTTATCATAACGACTTGCGTTATCATAATTACACCCACTCGCATAATTAATACGATTACCTCTCGAATTGACATAATTAAAATGTGCGTAATTACATAAATTAACATATTTCCGGATAATTACACATTTGGCCAAATTTCATTTAATTATTATTATTTCCACTGAATATTCATAACCCACATATACAACATAATAATTTCACCCACGCACGCATACAGCATAACAAATTTTCATACCCAACATATACAACACCCCCCCCCCCTAGCCACACCCCCCCCCCACACCCGGCGGCCACCCCACTCACTTGATGTTCTCGAGCGTGAGTGGCGCCGAATGCTGCACCATCTTGTACACAGTCATCAGCAGGAACACGGAGTTCACCTGTGACAACACACGCGCACCACGCGTACACACGAGTCAACGAGTCCACAAGACGTTTCTTTTAGGGTTAGATTACGTGAACTATTTTTCGTGGCGATCAAACATGGCCGCGGCCGATTTCCCCTTCCGCGCCTTTTTTTTGTAAGCGCCAAATTTCCTGTCGTTTGTTTGCAAACAACAGCGACCCACGTGTGGCCACTTGCTCAGTCAGTCTCGCTTAGTAAGATATTAATTTTGTGAGTGTAGTAGTCATACCCCTCCCCCCTCATTCAAGCCGTAATTTAGAGAGCGAAAGCGCTGAGTACGTAAATCGCTAACATAAGAACCCGTTATTCTCTTCTCGCATCATTCATACGATGATGCGGTGAAGTAAACGTTCATACGATATTACGGTGAATGCTTCCAAAAACAATACTGTACCCAAATATTACTGTTAACTTACTTTCAATGTAAACATGAATTGCTCGTACGAATATTCTCTCTCTCAGAATCGACCGACTGATGTAGCAGACGAAACAATCATCTGGTTGAACGATTCTAAACCTTGACGCGGCAATGTTAGTTTACTCTGTTTTTCAAGGTCTTCTCAGTGTTATTCAATGTTGTTACATTTAGTTTACTATTACACTCTGAATTCTATGGCATAATTAACTATTTTTGTGCTTAAAAATCTTTAAAAAACTATATTTATATGCAGTTCGTAGGAGTCTGGAACGGATTAATCGTATTTACATACAATCCAATAGGGAAGTTAGGTTCAAGTCACGACCAAACCGGGTTGCAACCAAAGTTATGGAATGAATTATGGTCGTGACCAGAGGTTCTACTGTAAGGTGGAAAAGAAGTTCAACACACGTACGTATATACTGGCGTCGGTGTGGCAATCAGAGGTGCTTGCCTGCAATTTGGACTTTAGAACTGGACGGGCTTTTGTCACGAGACGATTTCGGGAATTCACGCCCAATACGAACGTGGGAATCGCATCAGATTCAGCACGGGACCTCTCGCAGATGCGTACGTCGAGCAGCAGACACAGCGACACGTCTCGCTGGCGGGAGAACGACGCCGCACCTCCCGTCCCCCGGCACAACGCGCACCCACGGTACTCACGAGGATGATGGTGGCCACGGGCGCAAGGAAACTCCAGATGAAATGATTGTCAGTCCTGAGCCAACAGCTGCAAGAGAGGACAAACGATCGCCCGGTTAGCCTGACAGGCCGGGATCGCGCATTCACGTGTCTGCTTTCATTCGCCAGCATCTGGTAACATTTGCCACCGTTCAGTAGCGCTTGAGCCCCCATCTGGTAACATTGGGGGAGATTTGTGACATTTGTTGTATGTGAGGACATTCCCTGCATCTGGTCAGACCGGGCGCCAGCCGGCAACACCGGGCTCCGGTTAGTAAGCCCGGGCATCAGGTGTCAACACCAGGTGTGAACCGGCAACGCCGAGCTCTGGTTAGCAAGCCCCGGGCATCAGGTGTCAACACCAGGTGTGAACCGGCAACACCGAGCTCCGGTTAGCAAGCCCGGGTGTCAGGTGTCAACACCAGGTGTGAACCGGCAACGCCGAGCTCCGGTTAGCAAGCCCCGGGTGCCAGGTGTCAACACCAGGTGTGAACCGGCAACGCCGAGCTCCGGTTAGCAAGCCCCGGGTGTCAGGTGTCAACACCAGGTGTGAACCGGCAACGCCGAGCTCCGGTTAGCAAGCCCCGGGTGCCAGGTGTCAACACCAGGTGTGAACCGGCAACACCGAGCTCCGGTTAGCAAGCCCGGGTGTCAGGTGTCAACACCAGGTGTGAACCGGCAACACCGAGTTCCGGTTAGCAAGCCCTGGGTGTCAGGTGTCAACACCAGGTGTGAACTGGCAACACCGAGCTCCGGTTAGCAAGCCCCGGGCGCCAGGTGTCAACACCAGGTATGAACCGGCAACACCGAGATCCGGTTAGCAAGCCCGGGGCGCCAGGTGTCAACACCAGGTGTGAACTGGCAACACCGAGCTCCGGTTAGCAAGCCCCGGGCGCCAGGTGTCAACACCAGGTGTGAACTGGCAACACTGAGCTCCAGTTAGTAAGCCCGGGTGGTGTCAGGTGTCAACACCAGGTGTGAACTGTCAACACCGAGCTCCGGTTAGCAAGCCCCGGGCGCCAGGTGTCAACACCAGGTATGAACCGGCAACACCGAGATCCGGTTAGCAAGCCCGGGGCGCCAGGTGTCAACACCAGGTGTGAACTGGCAACACCGAGCTCCAGTTAGCAAGCCCCGGGCGCCAGGTGTCAACACCAGGTGTGAACTGGCAACACTGAGCTCCAGTTAGCAAGCCCCGGGTGTCAGGTGTCAACACCAGGTGTGAACTGGCAACACTGAGCTCCGGTTAGCAAGCCCCGGGTGTCAGGTGTCAACACCAGGTGTGAACTGGCAACACTGAGCTCCAGTTAGCAAGCCCCGGGCGCCAGGTGTCAACACCAGGTGTGAACTGGCAACACTGAGCTCCAGTTAGCAAGCCCCGGGTGTCAGGTGTCAACACCAGGTGGGAACTGGCAACACCGAGCTCCGGTTAGCAAGCCCCGGGCGCCAGGTGTCAACACCAGGTGTGAACTGGCAACACTGAGCTCCAGTTAGCAAGCCCCGGGTGTCAGGTGTCAACACCAGGTGTGAACTGGCAACACCGAGCTCCGGTTAGCAAGCCCCGGGCGCCAGGTGTCAACACCAGGTGTGAACTGGCAACACTGAGCTCCAGTTAGCAAGCCCCGGGTGTCAGGTGTCAACACCAGGTGTGAACTGGCAACACCGAGCTCCGGTTAGCAAGCCCCGGGCGCCAGGTGTCAACACCAGGTGTGAACTGGCAACACTGAGCTCCAGTTAGCAAGCCCCGGGTGTCAGGTGTCAACACCAGGTGTGAACTGGCAACACTGAGCTCCGGTTAGCAAGCCCCGGGTGTCAGGTGTCAACACCAGGTGTGAACCGGCAACGCCGAGCTCCGGTTAGCAAGCCCCGGGCGCCAGCGGGCGGCGGAGAGGGTTGACGGGAGGGCGTGGTGACTGACGCGCGCTCGGTGCCGTAGCCCGTGTAGTCGACGGCGAGGGAGGCGGCGACGAGGGCGAGCGGCAGGCCGTAGCCCAGCAGGTAGAAGTACTTGCGGCGCGAGCGGCGCCCCTCGAACACCTCCACCAGCATGAGGTAGAGCTGCAGCCCCTCCAGGAACATCCACGCAAACGCCGCCAGGAACAGCAGGTGCAGCAGCGCCGCCAGCACGGAGCACGCCACCTGTGGAGTTGCCGTTACGCAGAATGTGAGTCTTTATTCGGACGTGGAGGGAGAAATCCGATGAGCCAAGAAGCTGTTTGATGACAGATGTCCACCGGTAGGGGGGTCACGGGGGTCAGCGAAACAACACGAGGCATGTGAGTGGGTGGGTACGTGAGCGAGTGGGTGGGTTAGCGTGTGAGTGGGTGGGTTAGCGTATCAGTGGTTGTGCGCGTGAGTGGGTGGGTGGGTTAGCGTGTGAGTGGGTGGGTTAGCGTATCAGTGGTTGTGCGCGTGAGTGGGTGGGTGGGTTAGCGAGTGAGTGGGTGGGTGGGTTAGCGTGCGAGTGGGTGGGTGGCTACGTGAGTGCGTGAGTGCGTGAGCGGATGAAAGAGCGCCAGTGCGAGAAGACGGGTGGTTGAGCGGGCGAGACACACGGAGACAGATAGAGGTAGATCGAGTGGGCGAGCGAGTGGGTGAGAGGACAGGCGAGTGGGCGAGTGAGTGGATGGAGAAGACAAGTTGGTGGGAGCGGGCGCACCGTGTACTGAGTCTTGTTGATGCCCACAAGGAACAGCAGCTGGGCAAGCAGCAGGCTGAGGCACAGGTTCTTGTGGACGGTGTTGCGGTCACTCTGGAGGCCGCTGAAGAAGCAGAAGGTGAAGGTGGCCACGGCGAGGCACACGAGCGACACCAGCACGCCCGCCCACGTGATCACCAGCAGCAGCAGCTCGTGGGCGCGGTGCCCGTACTGGCGGCACGGGACGCAGGCACGGGACACACGGGGGAGGCGTGAGGGCGCGTGGGCAGGTGTACGCACGCATCAGGGACTTCTTTCGCCAAGTGCGAAGCCGACGTGAACAGGTTCTTAAAGACATTAGTTGTCAATTGAGATTTAGATCTAAAAAGGTGGACAAGTGACAAAGACAAAGATCCCCCCGTCCGTATAGACCTTAACAGACTGTACTCATTTAAGGCTGAGTTGACCTAGGGGAGGCCCGGGACCGGTTCAGATAATCGTCACTGGTGTTAGCCGTGAGCGGGAATCGAACTCGGGTCGCCAGGTACGTAGCGCAGCGCGCTAACCGCTACACTACCGCTCCCCATTACATTCACACACGCACTCACACACACTCACACGCACACACACGCACTCACTCACACATGCACGCACTCACTCACACACGCACTCACACACACGCACGCACACGCACTCACACACTCACACACACACGCACTCACACACGCACTCACTCACACACGCACTCACACACGCACTCACATACGCACACACACGCACTCACACACACACGCATGCACTCACACACGCACGCTCACACACATGCACGCACTCACACACGCACACACACACAAGATACTAAGATTACCCGTGTAGCCTTAGCAGACTGGTGGGGCAAGTGCTGTTAGCGAGTAACACCTATGAAGGCTGGCACAGCACACGATGGGGTGGGTGGCCAGCACCACGCCCGGCTAGCTTTGTCTCCCAAGTGGCACAATGTTGACACACCGCAATAGTCACTCACTTGAGGCCGAATCGATTGAGATAATTAGTTGGTGGTCGTGAGTAGCGCAGTGCCCTAACCGCTGGGCCACCGCTCCCCCACAACATAAACATTACCACTATCAAATCAACTACCACCACCTCATCCAAATTGACCACCACCAACATCACCACCATCACCTCCCGAATCTCACCGCACCTTCACGTCGCTCCTCGCCATGAGCACAGCGAAGTTGTTGAGGTGGCTGCAGGAGCAGGTAGTGTGCGTGCTGTTGGTGTGCGTGCTGTCGGTGTGCGTGCTGTCGGTGTGCGTGCTGTCGGTGTGCGTGCTGTCGGTGTGCGTGCTGTCGGTGTGCGTGCTGTCGGTATACGTGCTGTTGGTGTGCGTGCTGTCGCAGCCGTGGCTCCACCAGTCGCCCCTCGTGGTGTGGGATGAGCAGTTCCAGACGCAGCAGCTGCGGCTGAAGTGGTCAGACGTCTGGGGGGGTACGGGGAGGAGGAGGACGGTGACCAACTCGTCATTCAAGCAAGGAGTGGATGCTGGGGATATTGGCCTTGCTGAGGACTTCTGTGTCAGGGATTCTGTCTTGCCACTTGATCCTCAGCAGTTTCCTCAGACAGCTCAAGTGGAGATGATTCAATTTCTTGGCATGGCGCTGGTAGACTGTCCAGGCTTTGCACCCATACAGAAGAGTTGGTAAGACAACAGCCCGGTAGACCTTCAGTTTTGTCTCCTGCTTGATGCCAGCCCTTTCCCATACCGAGTCACGTAGACGCCCAAAGGCTGCACTGGCCTTGACAATCCTGATGTTAACTTCATCATCTATGTTCACAGCGCGAGACAGAGTACTACCAAGGTAAGTAAACTTGTCAACGGCTGAAAGCTTTTGCCCATTCACAAACATGGTGGGCTCAGTGTAGGGTTTCCCAGGAGCAGGTTGGTACAGGACTTCAGTCTTTCGGTAAAGTCACGTATAAATATAAAACAATAAATTAAATAAGATGAGCGACAGCCGGGCGAAGGCGATGATGGACGAGGTGGGCGAGGAGTGCCGCGCAGACGGAGCGGACGAGACGAGTTGACGTGCGTGGGCGAGGTGGGGTTGCGGGCATTGCGACCATTCGATTAATATCTCACACGGGGGAAGGGAGGGGGAGGGCAGTGAGGGAGGCAGGGGGGTGATGGCTCACCCATTGTGCGATTTGGTTCACCCAGGCGGAAGTGCAGTTGCTTAAATCGGGACCTCGTGCAGACCAGGCTCCTGTGATGGCATCGCAGGTGTAGAGCGCCGTGCCTGGCGTGCGCACACAAAGACAAAGATCCCCCGTGTGGACAGACGTTGCTGGGCCAAGTGCTGTTAGCGAGCGCCTATGAGAGACGGCGCGGCACGCGATGGGGTAGGTGGCCATCCACCACGGCCGGCCGCCTTCGTGTCTTCGGCGATGTTGTTTACGAAGCGCACCGTGTTACTATTAAGCTGCTAAACACAAACATTAGTTTAGCAGGTGCCCACTGAGCTGTGTGGCTCTTTGTCCAGAAGTAACCTGGCAACAAGTGATAGCTCAACGAAGTGGATTATCGCGCGGAAATCCATAGCGGCGGCCAAACACTCTAAACGCGTGGCGGCGTCGATTCTAAATGTGGAGGGAAAAACCGGAGGACCCGGAGAAAAATCCACGCGACCACGGGGAGTGAAACATGCAAGCGTCAAATCCACACGCGCCAGGGTTGGGATCGAACCCATGACTACCAGGCGAGGTAGTGAACGTCGAGACCACGGGAGCGGCGGCACAGCGGTTAGCGCGCCGTGTCAGCCTTGATAAGCGCTCGCCAAAGGCGGCCTGCTTGAAGCCGTTTGTGCAAAAGAGCTTCGTGGCCTCATCGGATTTTCTCCGGGATGAACAGAGACTCCGATTACGAAAGATGATGATTCTGCGTGGCAATCGGTTAGCACGCACGCGCAGCGATCATCTGGTCTGGAGTGATATCTAAACTGGCAATGGGTGACTACCAACCTTCACCAATGTCCACTGACCAGCGTGGTGCAGTATGGTCAAACCAACATAGTGTGTCGGTCATGGGAGTTGTTCATCCAGCAGTGGATTGAGAAAGGCCTGTACATTATTATTATAGCTACGATATGATACAATGACACGTAGCAGGCTTTCGCGACCCGTATCATTCATAATAAACGTTTTTGGGTTAGATCGCGTTATTAATGTGTTGCAACCCTCCACCACCCGACACGGCCAATTGGTAAAAAAGTATCACGTTGACAAAAGACAAATAGTTCACTACTTTAGCCCACCGGTGTGTTGAAGAGTGAATCCACAACATTTACAATTTTTCAGTAGCACGACGTTTCGCTGGTAATTACATCATCCAGCATCATCGGGAGATTTCCTAGAATTGTGAAGCCCTCCACTTGGCTTAAATAGAGCAGCAGCAGCAGCAGGATGACGTCATCATTTAACCCATTCAGGTGCAGTGATTTGAGGCGGGGGGGGGGGTATTGTAATTATATACTAGATGAGTAATCAGTCAATTGTTATGATTCCTCTATAAGGAGTTGTAATGTGTATTATATAACTGAACCAAATCACCATACCCAATCAGGTGCAGAAATAAGTGGTGGCGGAGGTGGGGGAGGGTGTTATTGTGATTATATACTACGTTAGTAATCTGTTAATTAGTAAATTACTAACAGAAGTTGCATATCGGATTAATTGTTTATGTGGCAGATGCTATACTGGACAGACGGGACAAAACATCAGCGTAAGACTAGAAGAACACAAAATAAATCGCCACCGTTTGTCTCCCCAGTGGCGATGTTCACACACCACACATGTTCAATCTTCATTTTGGAGCTAATTTTGGAAAGAACCAAAGAATACCACACATGTTACTCGTTTGAGGCCGAGTCGACCTAGGGGAGGCCCAGGACCAGTTCAAATAATCGTCACAGGTGGTGGCAGTGAGTAGGAATCGAACTCGGGTCACCGGGTTCGTAGCGCAGCACGCTAACCACTACACTACCGCTCCCCACACACACACACACGCGCGCGCATCCATAGGTACACACACACGCGCTTGCTGCAGACACACACAACTTTGCGTACGGCAGTAAACGACTGAAATATTAAACCAATGCTTCGCGAAGAACACCTTAGACCTGCAACACATTTGTGTTTTACTTTCCCCGTGGAGGATTGGGGGGGGTGCGTCACATGAGCAGGCACACTGCGTGACGCTTCCGCATACGGGTCACATGACAGAGATGTGACGTCACAGCTCAATTGCCGTGCAAAATCTCTGCATTATTGCGCCCCCCCCCCCTCACCAAAAAAAATACAAAAGTCTATTTTTATCATTTGTTCATGGTGTACAGTCTGGAAAGTACCCACATGGCAAATTTCAAGTTTGTTGCATGTCGGGAAGTACGCTAAACTTTTGAACAGACACACATATCCACAAATTTCCCTTTTATATATAGATTACAATTACAATTCCTTATAGGGGGAAACACATACTAATTAACTGATTACTAACGTAGTATATCATTACAATAACCCCTCCCCCACCTCCGCCACCTCTGATTTCTGCACCTGATTGGGTACGGTGATTGGGTCTAGTTATTAAATGATACACATGTAGGGTCTTCCTCCTGGACACACCGGGTATTTAGATTCACACGGAGACCAGGTCTTTGCTCAGGGCTGCTCGCCGTTTATTTTCTTCCTCTCTCCACACTTCCACCCGACGCGACCCCACGTGAGCTCCCGTCCACGCCTCCCTCCTTCCTCCCTCTCTCCCGAAGCTACTTTTTCTCAACCATCCTGAACACCTCCTCTGTCGGCCAGGGTCTCTGGGGAGGTCTGGACCATGTACCCAAAGCAGCCATACATACACACACACGCTCACATGAAACCACATTGGGGCTCCGCAAGCCTCTCCTCAGCGTGCCTAGCAAGGCGATGTTGAATAATCCTTGCCAGGACCTTTCACGGCACACTGAGGAGTGAGATGCCCCTGTAGTTGTTACAGTCTGTGCGGTCCCCCTTCTTAAAGAGGGGGACCACCAGGACATCCTTCCAATCCTGCGGAACCCGTCCAGTGGTCCAGACTGTTGTTATGATGTCATATAGGGCAGTCATGCTCACACACTCAGAAACTCAAACACCTTCGCACCGTTACCTCCACTCCCCCTCACACACTGTGAGGAGCGCCCCACGCACTTCACTTGTGCTCATCAAAGACAAAGATCCCCCGTAAAACCTTCAACACACTGTTGGGGCAAGTGCTGTTAGCGAGCAGCACCTATGATGGCCGGCGCAGCGTACGAGGGGGTGCTGTGGCCAACACCACCACGCCCGGATCTTTCACGCTCACACTTTCACCCACTCACACACGCACACACTCCCACTCTCCTCTCCCCCCCTCTCTCTCCTCCTCTCTCTCCTCGCCTCCCGCTCTCTCCCCGGCTCTTCGTTTTCCGTCCCTCTTCCCGTGCTCGCCCCTCGTTGGGTCTCCGCGGTGCTCCACTACATCCCCCCCCCCCCCCCCCGTGAAGAAAAATCAGCCGTCCCGGCTGCCAACGTGATGTCAGAGAAGAGGGGGAGAAAAAAAAATGAAATAACATTTTTCGAGCGACCCCTACGACCAGCAGCCAACAACACAACAAGCAGAACAATAACGCGTAGCACAAGAAGGTAGGATAACCACAAGGGACCAGATGGCCCGTGCAGAGGCCCCCCACTCCATGACCCGTCGTGCGGAGGGTGCAGGAAGGGTGCTCAACAGAACAAGCGACTCCTGGGCCTCGTCCCCGAGGCTGGTCCGCCTCCTGGAGTCAGAGCCTGGTCCTGCGGTGGCGTTTCGGTGCGGCGAGACCGCTCCCCCTTGGGTAGGGGCGCAGGCGTGTCCGTGGGGACTAGGTGCTGCGATCCTGCGGGTGGAGCACGGAGAAGATGCACCCTGACGCACTGCCTCACGACACCCGCGACCCGGCTCGTCGGACACATCAGGGGATGATTCAGCGGAACAAAGCACGTATCTCATTATATCTCCTTTGCTGGTGTAGAGGAGTAATATGGGGACGTGACGTCGTGCGCGCTGGGCGGTGCGATGACGCCATGTCTCCTAGTGGTACTTAAGGGGGACCCCGTGGGAGCCCGGGATGGAGAGAGGTTGAAGAGACAGCCGGGGGTAGAGCTCAGGGAGTCTGGAGAGAAGCCGACTCAAGTTGTGGAAGGTGCTGCTCTCCCCGGTCGGTCGGTGTTGGCTGATCCCCCGATCCGACTCGAGGCAGAGAGCCCAAGAGCTAGCCGAGCTAGGGACAGACAGAACCAGTGTAGGTAACCTACCCCTGGTAGAAGTTGTCAACAACCCCTATTAATAAACCAGCACAAGCCCTTACAAGAAGACCTGCCTGCGCGTCGTCATTTGCACCTCAACACCAGGACCAAAATATAGTAATAGGGTTTTTCCCCCCTTTTTTCTGGCAACAAAACTGAAACCTTCTTAGAAGGAATCAGGTCCGCATTAACCGCAAGACTTGTGGTAAAAATGCAACAAAAAACACACTGATAATATATGCATTGTCCTTGAAACTGATTGGTCCACACCAAGCCATCTCAAGGACAATGCATATATTATCAGTGTGTTTTTTGCTTGCATTTTGACCACCAGTATTGTGGTGAATGCGGACATGATTCCTTGCAAAAAGGTTTCAGTCTTGTAGCCAGAAAAAATCCTATTATCAAGGCACGTACCTCTTCAACCGAGAGGGCTGCACAATCCGACGGTGCCGGCCGAATTGGATGCGCACGCACTACGGCCTCCGGACCTCTAAAACCTCAACTGGACCCTGCCACGGCCGATATCGTTTACAGGACGTCCCCAGGGGCACCTGCGGGCAATGCAGCCAGGCCTTATCACCGATTCAAGAGCCGAATGGCTCACAGGGCTATACCTAATAAATGAACTTTGAATTTTGAACCAACCTCCGGACCCCCGGGGCACCGTCAGCCTCTCACTTGCCGCTTGCCGGCTGGCCGAGTTACTTTCCGGGGCCTCCTGCGACCTGTTGAGACGCAACCCGCATGGGGGCGGGCATCGCGGATCCTTCACCGGATGAGCCAAAGCCAGAGGTCGCAACCAGGTACCCGACACCCTACCCGATACCCGGCTACCCGTACCCAAGCGGGTACGGGTAGCCGTTTGCGACCCTGGTGCGGCCAGGTACGGGTAGGCCGCGAGTCACTGGTGAGTAACCGTTTGTCACTCATTTCGGGTAGGGTACGGGTAGGCCGTGAGTCACTGGTGAGTAACCGTTTGTCACTCATTTCACGTAGGGTACGGGTACGGGTAGAGCGTGAGTCACTGGTAAGTAACTGTTTGTCACTCATTTCGCGTAGGGTACGGGTAGGCCGTGAGTCACTGGTGAGTAACCGTGATTTAAAGCTTTCGTGACTGCAGGGATTCATCTTCTTGGTTCTTTCGGTAAAGTCACGTAGAAGGGAAGTAATAAAATAATAAAAATAAAACATAAAATAATTTTATTATGTTTTATTTTTATTATTTTATTATTTCCCTTCTACGTGACTTTACCGAAAGAACCAAGAAGATGGTGAGTAACCGTTTGTCACTAATTTCGGGTAGGGTACGGGTAGGCTGTGAGTCACTGGTGAATAACCGTTTGTCACTCATTTCGCGTAGGGTACGGGTACGGGTAGGGAACGGCTACCCGTACCCGGCCGGGTACGGGTACCCATTTGCGACCCTGGTGCGGCCGGGTACGGGTAAGGAATCAAAACCCGTTTGCAACCTCTGGCCAAAGCCTAATTGGACGTGCATCGGGGACTCCGGTTCCCTCCCGTACGTAAAAATAAGGGGGAGAATCCCGTGGAGGCACGAGGTGCCAACCTGTACGCCGCGAATATCCCTGAGACGTGCAGGTCCAAATCAGACTGGGACGTGTCCACCTGGTGACATAGCATAGACGTAAGGGTGTGATGCAATCACTCTACCATCCCATCGGTTTGAGTTTGGTAGGGGGACGTCCTGATTTCCCCCGTGCCCCAGGAGGTGGCAGACCTCCTTGAGCAACCTGGAGGAAAAATGTCGGCCCTGGTCAGTCAAGAGTTGCTCGGGGGGGCTCCCTTGTCCAACACGTAGTCACGCACAAAGGCATCGGCTACGGACGTGGCCAACTGATCTGGCAAGGCCCATGCCATAGGCCAACGGGTGAGATACTCAACCCCGACCAGGAGATAGTTATGGCCTCTTTTTGAAACCGGGAAGGGGCCCAGGGTGTCGAAAGCCCGTTGACCCGTCTGCAGCGGGGACACATCCTGCCGAACCGGCGGCTTATGACGGGCAGTCCTGGCAACCTTTTACCAAAAGTGCCACGTCATCCTCCATACCCGGCCAATAGCAGTCTTCTGAAACCCCAAGTGCATCACTTTACCGTGAACAACCCGGCTAAGCTTCCCGCGGAGGACCGTGGGCAAGACGACACAATACCTCTGGGATTCTGCGTCCCACTGAATGAGGAGGACCGTACAGGAGGGTCAATAACGGAGCCCTCGCAACAGACTTAGGGGTCGGCCACGCGCGCACGCACTCAGTTTTGTTGGGATCGGTAGCCACCCCTGATGGGCTCACGACGTGACCCAAGCACTTAACCGACGATTGCAGGAAATGGCATTTTTGGGGATTAACATTGAGGTTAGCGGCCCACACCTTAATGAAGACCGACCGCAACTGTTGTAGGTGTCCCTCGAACGTCCGGCTGAAAACGATGACATCATCCAAGTATGTGAGGCACGAGTCCCATTGAAGACCCGCTAAGAGCATCTCCATAAGATGCTGAAAAGTGGCCGGGGCGGAATGGAAACCCATCGGGAGGCAGTTAAAATGGTGTCGGAAGTGGCCGTTTTGGGCTTAGAGTCCTCATCCAACGGCAGCTGCCAGAACCCCGACAACCAGTCCAGAGTTGAGCGCCCAGCGACAGTGTGGCCGATGCGAACAGCTGGCCGAGTTCGCCGAGCTGGGCGGCTGGGGAGCACCACCGGCCGCCTCCTGTGCTGTCAGCAGCGGCGCAGAAGGCCGCATCTCCAGTGTCCCCGACTCCGTCGATGGCGTCGTCTTCGTCCGAAAGCACCGCTGGTACGTTCTTCCTCTTAGCAGTCGCTTTTGACACGATGCCAGCTAATGTTTATGTCCCTGTTGCGAAGGTTCGACGGCCACTTCCGACATCAATTGTAGAGTCTTCATGCTGGACACCCCGGGTATTTAGATCCACGCGGAGACCAGGTCTTCGCTCAGGGCTGCTTGCCGTTTATTCTTTCTTTCTCTCTCCACAGTTCTCACCCGACACGACCCCTCGCTAGCTCCCGTCCACATCTCCCTCCTTCCTCCCTCTCTCCTGAAGCTACCACGCTCCATCTCCACTCCCACCTCCTTCCTCCCTCTCTCCCAAAGATGACGCCATCTGGTCCAACCCCTGGATCACTGCTACACTACAGTCAGTAGAGCCTACCACGCAATCCCCCGAGCAGCACTGGGACACTCTGACCATGCCATGGTCCACCTGATTCCTGCATACAGGCACAAACTAAAGCTCTGTAAACCTGCTGTGAGGACATCGAATCAGTGGACCAGTGAGGCTATGGAGAATCTGCAGGCGTGCTTGGACTGTACTGACTGGGATATGTTCACGACTGCTACCAATAGCCTGGATGAACTCACAGAGGCTGTGACGTCGTACATCAGCTTCTGTGAGGATTGCTGTATTCCAACAAGCACCAAGGTGAACTTCAACAACAACAACAAGCCCTGGTTCTCAGCAAAGCTCAGAAGGTTGAGGTTGGAGAAGGAGGAAGCGTTTAGGAGTGGGGATAGAGACAGATTCAAAGAGTCGAAGAAAAGGTTTAGCAAGGCGGTGAGAGAGGCTAAACGACTGTACTCAGAGAGACTAAAACACCAGTTCTCTGCTAACGACTCTGCTTCTGTCTGGAGAGGGCTCAGGCAGATCACCAACTACAAGCCCAGAGCCCCCCACACCACTAACGACTCCCGCCTAGCCAACGACCTGAACGAGTTCTACTGCAGATTTGAAAGACAATTGGACTGTCCTGAACTACCCCTTCCCACCCAAGAGGCCCCTATCCCACCCCACACTACAGAGACAACTATCTCCATTCAGGAGGGAGAAGTTAAAAAAACTTTTCAAGAGGCAGAACCCACACAAAGCAGCTGGGCCGGACTCTGTCTCTCCAGCGACCCTCAAGCACTGCGCTGACCAGCTGTCTCTGGTGTTCACCAACATCTTCAACGCCTCACTGGAGACACGCCATGTACCAGCCTGTCTCAAGTCCTCCACCATCATCCCTGTGCCCATAAAGCCAAGGCCAACAGGACTTAATGATTACGGATCCGTCGCCCTAACCTCTGTGGTAATGAAGTCTTTTGAGAGCCTGGTGCTGGCACACCTCAAAGCCATCACAGACCCTCTCCTGGACCCCCTGCAGTTTGCCTACAGAGCCAACAGGTCTGTGGATGACGCAGTTAACATGGCCTTCCACTTCACCCTACAGCACCTGGACTCCACCATCATCGCTGCCCTGCTTCAGGACAAGCTCTCCCTGCTGAACGTGCCCGACTCCACCTGCAGGTGGATCACAGACCTCCTGTCTGACAGGAAGCAGTGCGTTAGGCTGGGAACACAAGTCTCCGACTCCCGGTCCATCAGCACCGGATCTCCTCAGGGCTGCGTCCTTCCCCCTGTGCTCTTCACCCTGTACACCAACAGCTGCACCTCCAGTCACCCCTCCGTCAAACTCTTGAAGTTTGCGGACGACACCACCATCATTGGGCTCATCTCTGGTGGGGATGAGTCTGACTATAGGTGGGAGCTTTAGAAAGAAGGCTGCTGTCTCTGGTGTAGGCCGACACAGACTGAGACAGCGAGACAAAGGGGGGCGAGTAGGGGGGGGATACAGAAAGAGAGACTGAGACAGCAGGAGATAGACAACCGGAGAGAGATAGACAAAGAGGCACAAAGAGATAAAGATACAGAGAGAGGGTGACAGAGAAAAACAGACAGGCAGAGAGAGGTCTACAGACATAAGACCATGAGACACAAAAACGGAGACCGAGGGGACAGGGGGCAGAGAAAGCGACACACACAGACACACACACACAGACACACACACACATACACACACAGACACACACACAGACACACACAGACACACACACACATACACACACACACATACACACACATACACACACACCACCTCTCATACACACAGACACACACACAGACACACACACACGCAGACACACACAGACACACACACACACACACAGACAAATAGAAAGAAAGATGGAGCTACAGCCATCGGGAGACATGAGAGAAACACACACGCAGATAGAGACACTGAGACAGAGGAAAATGTGGGAGACAGAGACACGGACACAGACGGAGATGTGAGGGAAACACACACGCAGATAGAGACATTGATACAGAGGGAGACAGAGGGAGACAGAGGGAGACAGAGGGAGACGTGAGAGACAGAGACACAGATAGAGACTCGGAGACAGAGGGAGACCGAGGGAGACGGAGGGAGACGGAGGGAGTCGAGCGGAGGCGGCAGGCGGGCAGACTCACCAACGGCGCCTGCAGGACAGGGCCTCTCCGCCGTCTTGCCCCGCAGCAGCTGGGGCCACTGGACGGCGTGGGCGAGCGTGGGGGGACAGGACGTGGGCACGCTGGTGCTGCCCTGGCCACCGTCAGCGGGCGCCACGTCTCCCGGTGTCACGTCGGTCGTGTCCTGCGGTGGAGACGCGCCATTGAAGAGTCGAGCGCAAGTGTTGTAAGTTGAACCTCTTTCGCACCGTACGGAGCCAACCGTGCCGATCGGAGATGCAGTGCGCCAACCATCACGCCACCGCTCGCCACCACTACCATGTTTTTACACTCCGCGCCAGGTACTTATTTGAGGCTGATTCGATCTGGGAAAGGAGTCCCAGGACCGGTTCAAATAATCGTCACCGGTGTTGGCCGTGAGCGGGAATCAAACTCGGGTCGCCGGGTTTGTAGCGCAGCGTAGCGCTAGCCGCTACACCACTGCTCCCCACCACCATCACCACCACCACCACTACTGCCAACACTATTACTGCTACCACCACCACCACCACCGTTACCTGAGGCAGTTGCGTAGGGATGGGCGGCACCATTGCCACGTGGCTCCGCGGAGGACTTGCGGTGCTGCCTCCGCCGGAAGGCCCTATCGTCGAACTCTCGTGCACTGCATTGTGGGAAACACAAAGAACAACGGCCATATTGAGGACACGGGCGCAACCAACTGACATTTACACAATCGACGGTTGGCTACATGCGGCGCGAAAACAGTTCAACGCACAAACATTCACAACCCAAGAGCAGCGGCACAGAGCTCCCAAATGTCCTGGATTGGACGAACGTCAGAGGTCGCAACCGGGTACCCGATACCCGTACCCTACCCGATACCCGGCTACTCGTACCCGGCCGGGTACGGGTACGGGTAGCCGTTTGCAACCCTGGTGCGGCCAGGTACGTGTACGGGTAGGCCGTGAGTCACTGGTGAGTCACCGTTTGTCACTCATTTCGCGTAGGGTACGGGTAGGCCGTAAGTCACCGGTGAGTAACCGCTTGTCACTAATTTCGGGTAGGGTACGGGTAGGCCGTGAGTCACTGGTGAGTAACCGTTTGTCACTCATTTCGCGTAGGGTACGGGTACGGGTAGGCCGTAAGTCACTGGTGAGTAACCATTTGTCACTCATTTCGCGTAGGGTACGGGTAGGCCGTGAGTCACTGGTGAATAACCGTTTGTCACTCGTTTCGGGTAGGGTACGGGTACAGGTAGGATACGGCTACCTGTACCCGGCCGGGTACGGGTACGGGTACCCATTTGCGACCCTGGTACGGCCGGGTACGGGTACGGGTAAGGAATCAAAACCCGTTTGCGACCTCTGACGAAGGTTCCCGGTTTCAGGAAGGGCATCCCCGGTGTCCCGAAGAGTTCAAAGTTTGTGCCGCTTCATAGTTCGACCCGTGGGGGGGGTCGGGGGGGGGCTACAAGGAGGACTTCTGACGCACCTCCGATTAGCGCAGTCGGCTACGTAGGGCGCGGAAGAAAGTTCCAACGTACGCACACATACTGCCCCGATCACTACCATCGAACAAAGTCGGTCACTGTGTGAAAAACAAGAACAGGTTTCACCCCTTTCTTGCAATCAAACAGGAGGTGTTCAGATGTTGAAACCCCAAATAGACGATGCCTTTTGCAAGGAATCAAGTCTGCAACAATCACCCACGGTACTTGTGGTAAACATGCAAACAAACGTGCTCTGATAACACTGTGTAACAATTTGTTTTTGTTCCTGGGTAGTAAGCGATATTTCCTAATTGCTTCTGCCTAAAAGTACAGAAAATGGCTATTATTCCCAACAAACTTTGCTTTTGTGACCAGGACAGTGGTATTTTTAAATTTACCTATTTTCCAGAACATTCCAGATAAAGTTGGGTGAGGGGCGGTGGCCGGGGGGGCGAGGAGGGGAGACGAGAGGGTGGGGAGGAATGAATGACTGGGGAATCTGTCGCGCACCGAGGGCCGAACAGGACTTCAAACACCTCAGTCCATCCTGTCACTGCAAGGTTGTAATGAAACGAACGTACTGTAAGTGGTCATGTTGAAAAGGTGTGGAGCTAGGTTTTACCCCGAATTTAAACAAAACTACTAAACTACTTTTTTATTTTACCAGGTAAGGCCCCACTGAGCTATGTAGTTCTTGTTCAGAAGCGACCTGGATATCACAAATGATAGCTCAACCAAGTGGCTCATCGTCACGTGGAGATTTATAGCAGCCAAACACTCTGAACGCGTTGATGTTGATTCTAAATGTGGAGGGAAACACCAAAGAACACGAAGAAGAATCCACACGACCAGAGAGAACACGCAAACTCCAAATATACAGCAGACATCAGGGTTGATTTCGAACCCATGCCCCAATTTAAGAGTTTTACTCTTACGAGGTCACCCTGAGTGAAGTTGCTGCACACAGAAAACAAGACGAGGCGGTGATGGGAGCGACTTGAGAGCGTTGCGTCGTTTAACGATTAGTGCCACGAAAAAAAACTGCCCACGGCGATGGATAACAATCGTCTGTAGTTGGCCTCATGCGGCTGTGTGCCTTGTGAAGTGAAGCCACAGGCCACAGATGGGTCCTACCTCTGGTTCAAAAGGTATTCCTACCCTCTGGTCAGTTTTGAACGAGCAGCTGGATTTAATCACTCACTCTGAATGGAATTACACTGTCCTGTGCGATAGACTTGTCCCCGCCATAGGAAGGTGGAATTCCCACCGCTGGCTCAGGGTTGTGAGCGGGAGATGAGCGCCAATGCCTCAACGCTCTTTCTGAGCAAGAAAATCACTTTTGAGTCGTTGTGACGAATGTGAATGCAATAGCGAGTGTCTGTTGACAACCAACTAAACTCCCTTCTCTATGCTTGCAAATTGTGCTCCGCTCTAATGGAACATCTCTCTCCGTGGTGAGATGTTAACTACCTCGCCTGGTATACAGGAGGTCGTGGGTTCGGTCCCGAACCTGACAACTGCTGTTGTATATTTGGGGTTTGTGTGTCTCTCTCTCTCTCCGTGGTGAGATGTCAACTACCTCACCTGGTATTCGATGGGTAGGTCGCTATGTTGGGCCAAAGTGTGTCCCCGTACTCCCGCCTCTCAAAGGAGTCTGGCTAGTGTGGAAGAGTAGGCCAAGTACCCTCTCTAGAGCTCCCTCGAGTAGAATCCCTTCCATCAGCAGTGACATGAGCAAGCAAATTTATTTTTATTCTCACCACCATTATTATTGTTGTGATAATTCCATCGACACCGCCGTAGGACTGCGAGACACAGCGGGACTCTTGACTGCAATCCCACCGCTACGCTACCGCTCCCCACCACCCACCCTTCTACACCCCCCCCCACTCCTCCAACCCACCCCCACGCCGCCGCCTCACCCTTCCGCTCACCTGTAGTGGGATCCAGCGGGCCGAAGTGCAGCGTGTAGCGCAGCACGTGGTGGTTGTTCCACACGTAGAGGGCGCCGTCGCGCGGGTTGTACTGCACCGACGTGATGAACTGGAACGGGTTGGGGAACGGGATGGAGACGCGCGCATCCCGTCGCGAGTTGGTGTCGTACACGTAATCGATGCGGTCGCTCGTCCCCCCCCCCACCCCTCCTCCTCCTGCGGTGCCGTTCGCCGCTCCGTCGCCGTCATCCTCGTAAGTGGAGCGCAGGACGTAGAGGACGCCGCACGCCATGAAGGCGTCGGAGGCCGAGCGCTTGTCGTAGGCCGTCTCAAAGGAGGCCTCGACGCGCAGCGTGTACGGGTTCAAGCGGCTCACCACCACGCGCCCCTCGTTCTGTTCCGTGGCGTAGATGACCCACAGGCCGTTCTCGTCGGCCGCCAGGTCCATGTCGGACTTGCCGCCCCAGCGGTAGGGCGACGTGTCGTAGTAGTTGGCGTTGGGGACGACCGCCTCGCCGCTCTTGACACGCGTGCCCAGGTCGAACTTGACGATTCTGCGCGTTCGCTCCTGCGAGGGGGAGGTCAGGTGAGCGTGTGTGTGTGTGGCGGAGAGGTGGGTGTGTGTGTGAGGGAGAGGGGGTGGGGAGAGGGGGTGGGGAGAGGAAAGGTGAGAGTGAGAGGGGGGGAGAGGAGAGTGGGAGTGTGTGCGTGTGTGAGTGGGTGAAGGTGTGAGCGTGAAAGATCCGGGCGTGGTGGTGTTGGCCACAGCACCCCCTCGTACGCTGCGCCGGCCATCATAGGTGCTGCTCGCTAACAGCACTTGCCCCAACAGTGTGTTGAAGGCTTTACGGGGATCTTTGTCTTTGATGAGCACAAGTGAAGTGCGTGGGGCGCTCCTCACAGTGTGTGAGGGGGAGTGGAGGTGAAGGTGTGAAGGTGTTTGAGTGTCTGAGCGTGTGAGCGTGTGTGTGTATGTATGGCTGCTTTGGGTACGCGGTCCAGACCTCCCCAGAGACCCTGGCTGACAGAGGAGGTGTTCAAGATGGTTGAGAAAAAGCGACAGGCTCACTCTCATCAGCTACAGCATCCCACGTCAGAGAATGAGAAGGCTTACCGCAGCCTTTGCTCGTAGGTTCGGAGAGCCGTGAGGCGCTGCAATGATGGGTGGTGATCGCGGGTTGCTGAGGAAATGAGATCTGCCTCAATGGCCCGCGAACACAATTCGGTATTTAACTCCATCAAAAAGTAACCTGCAGCGCCACACCTATTACCATCACTAGGGGAAAGAACGATGATCCAATCTCAGACCCCCAGGAACAGGTTTGCAGATTTGCTGAGCATTTCTGAGGTCCTGGGGGAGGGGGAATCCCTCAGCCTGGAAAACATCATGGCACAAAGTGGGGATGACCCTGCTGAGGCTGCGGTGCCTCATATATTGGAGGAGGAATTCACCCCCTGTGAGTGGCTGGCTGAGGTGCCATCCGTTGAGGAAGTACTGAAGGCGATCCAGAGTCTGAGACCAGGAAAGGCACAGATCATCTCCCAAGCGAAATGCTTAGGGAGGGTGGCGTTTGTGCACAGACTACCCTATATGACATCATAACAACAGTCTGGACCACTGGACGGATTCCGCAGGATTGGAAGGATGCCCTGGTGGTCCCCCTCTTTAAGAAGGGGGACCGCACAGACTGTAACAACTACAGGGGCATCTCACTCCTCAGTGTGCCGGGAAAGGTCTTGGCAAGAATTATTCAACATCGCCTTGCTAGGCACGCTGAGGAGAGGCTTGCGGAGCCCCAATGTGGTTTCATGAAAGGGCGGTCCTACACAGAAGCCATATTTTCTGTCCGTCTACTACAGCAGAAGTGTAGGGAATTCCAACAAGACCTACATCTCTGCTTCATTCACCTGGTCAAGGCCTATGATACCATCAGTAGGCCTGGGCTCTGGGTTGTTCTTCGTGCTTTCGGAGTCCCTGACCCTCTGCTCATGCTCATTAAGGACCTTCATGATGGTGAGCTGGCCCGGGTAAAACTACGTGGCCAGGAGTCAGAGCCATTCCCTGTACACCTTGGGGTGCGACAGGGATGTCCTCTGGCTCCAACATGATTTAACATCTATTTCGACCACGTAGTTCGTGAAGCCTTCAGTAGCTGTACCGGAGGAATTTCCAACTGGTACAGATACAATGGGAGGCTGATCGATGCCCGGGTGCGGTCAAGAGATGGCTCCCTATTGGTCAACCATGTTATGTATGCCGATGCTCTGGTGATTGCTGCTCACTCAGAGGTGGAGTTGGAGGCACTGCTGCTGAACCTGGAACTTGCCACTAAGAGGTGGGGCCTTACCATCAGCCCCACCAAAACTAAGCACCTGCCTGGGTATTTTGTACCATCGGACAATCCACTCCCACAACTCACAATCGGTGATGCGGCAGTTGTGTAGAGAGTGGAGAGTTTCCCATACCTGGCCAGTGTGCTCATGACCGGCTCCAGCTTAACAGCAGAGGTCTCACTCCTAATCAGTCGAGCGCCATTATCTTTTCATCGGCTGCATTACGCTGTGTGGAAGCTACCTGGTCTCTCGCTCCACATGAAGCTTCAGGTCTTGTCGGCCGCGGTAATTTCCTCCCTTCTCTACGCTTGCGAAACGTGCACCCCCCTAATGGAACATCTTCGCCGGTTAGAAACATTTAGGCTCCCTATTGGTCAACCACGTTATGTATGCCAACGACCTGGCAATTGCAGCTCACCACACAAAGTGGCTTATCACGTGGCGACGTAACAGCAGCCAATCGCTCTAAACGTGCATGGATTCTAAATCAGGTGGCCAACATCTCTCCGCCGCGCCGGGCACCGACCTTGTTGAAGAACATGGCTCCATCGTACACCACGAAGCCCGTGCCGTCCACTCGGTGCGGCAGCTGGTAGTTGGTGAGCGGCAGCCCGGCCGCCATGTC